TCCAGGGGTGCACACTGCGATCGGATCCTTGCGGTTGAGGTCCAGGGATGCACACTGCGATCGGATCCTTGCGGTTGAGGTCCAGGGGTGCACACTGCGGGGATCCTTGCGGTTGAGGCCCAGGGGTGCACACTGCGAGGGGATCCTTGTGGTTGAGGTCCAGGTGGATCGGCGAAGCAGATTGGCGAAGCAGATTGGCGATGAAGATTGGCGAGGAAGGAAGCAAGGAGGAAGGGGGAAGGAAGGAGGAGGAGGAGGCGGAGGAGGAAGAACAACTGTGATAAAATCTAACAACCCTCACCTGGCAGGTGGGGAAAAAGAATCCAAATATATAGTATGGAGAGAGTCAAAGAAACAAGCGAAACAAAAACGCACGCAGGGAAAAGAAAGATAGACAAGAAGGGAAGCAAAAGAAAACGACTCGAAAGGCGAGAAGGACGTGCAAGAGGGAAGAAATAAGAGACATATATATAGATAGACAGGTTAAGAAAGAGTGAGAAAGACATCAAGGGGCTAGGTAGCTGACAGAAGAGAATTACGATTTGAAAGCGTGACCGAAAAGCGAATTACCGAAGCCGTATCAAAGAGATCGAGCACTACTATTTGCGATCAGCCACCCACGCATCCATGGCCATGCTGAACTTCGAGTGCGCTGTGGTGGATGCGGCTTGGCCAGCAGACCTAGAAGAACAAGAACAGCTGGTCAGGTGTATCCACTGCGCTGACTGGTGCAGGGTGCGAGCTCGCACCGTTGTACCGAACCATAGGCCATATCTGGGAGCAGTCCGAGTTCGAGGTCGGCTAGAGGAGTGTGAACTTCATGTCTACCTGCGCGGGCCAGATCGCCTTTGGATCGCGCGCCCTGTGTCTGAGAACGTGTTGTGGCTGAACGTCACATTGACCAGCCACAAAAAGGCGCTGAAAGCGACCTTCAACTTTGCCATGTCAGGAGAGGTGATTGGCTCCGTGTACATGCCTGAAAGGACGAACGCGGTACAAGTACACCACCTTTTTTGGGTCGGCAGCCGCAGCACCAGGAAGAGCAGGCCCCTGCTGCCGCCCCAGCAGCAGGCCCCTGCTGCCGCCCCAGCAGCAAGAAATGGGGCGGCGCAGGTGGGAGGCGGCGATCGCGGAAGGGAGGGGGACTGGACAACACACCTACTAGTAAACTTGTGCTGTGAAAGAACTTACCGTCCTCACAGAATCAGAGAATGGGCCTATTGGTGTCCAACTGGCACCTGCCAATGACTGCCGTGCTATGGCATCGGCACTTCCTTCGACCCCACCGTCGCTTGCAAAGCAAGACAGACTTAAAACAGAAGGCCGTGGCAGGGCGGTTTGGATGCAAGCGTACATTGACAGCGAGGCGAATGAAAATTGGACCTGGGTTTTGAAGCCGCGTGAAAAGGAATTTGCTATTGATCTGCCAGAGCGAGTGATACAGGTCCCAGCAGAGGCATGTCTTCCCCAAATCAAGGCCCGCAAACGACTATCCCCACATGACGGGCCACTCCCGCAACGCTGAGCAAGAAAGCCTGAGCTGAGTGGCGCGACCGTGCGCTTTGTGTCGTCCACTGCGCAAGGCATTTGCTCACACTCTTGTGAGGCACTCTTACGGGACACTCTTGTAGGACACTCTTGTGGGACACTCTTGTAGGACACTCTTGTGGGACACTCTTACGGGACACTCTGGTTGCACACTCTTGTGGGACACTCTTGTGGGTCACTCTTATGGGACACTCTTGTCGGACACTCTTGTGGGACACACTTGTGGGACACTCATACGGGACACTCTTGTGGGACACTCTTGTAGGACACTCTTGTGGGACATGCGGGACACTCTTGTGGGACACTCTTGTGGGGCACTCATACGGGACACTCTTGTGGGACACTCTTGTGGGACACTCTTGTAGGAGACTCTTGTGGGACACTCTTGTGGGACACTCTTGTGGGACACTCTAGTAGGAAACTCTTGTGGGACACTCTTGTAGGACACTCTTGTGGGACACTCTTATAGGACACTCTTGTGGGACACTCTGGGGCACTCTTGTGGGACACTCTTGTAGGAAGCTCTTGTGGGACACTCTTGTAGGACACTCTTGTAGGACACTCTTGTGGGACACTCTTGAGGGACACTCTTGTGGGACACTCTTGCGGGACACTGTTGCGGGACACTCTTGTGGGACACTCCTGTGGGACACTCATTTGGGACACTCTTGCGGGACACTCTTGTGGGACACTCTTGTAGGACACTCTTGTAGGACACTCTTGTGGGACACGGTTGCGGGTCACTCTTGTGGGACACTCTTGTGAGACACTCTTACGGGACACTCTTGTAGGACACTCTTGTGGGACACTCTTGTAGGACACCCTTGTGGGACACTCTTACGGGACACTCTTGTTGCGCATTCTTGTAGGACACTCTTGTGGGTCACTCTTATGGGACACTCTTGTCGGACACTCTTGTGGGACACACTTGTGGGACACTCTTGTGGGACACTCATACGGGACACTCTTGTGGGACACTCTTGTAGGACACTCTTGTGGGACAGACACTCTTGTGGGGCACTCATACGGGACACTCTTGTGGGACACTCTTGTAGGAGACTCTTGTGGGACACTCTTGTGGAACACTCTTGTGGGACACTCTTGTAGGAAACTCTTGTGGGATACTCTTGTAGGACACTCTTGTGGGACACTCTTGTAGGACACTCTTGTGGGACACTCCTGTAGGGCACACTCTTCGTACAAGACTTCCTCCAAAAGTCACGCTGCGAGGCTGCAAGACGAGCTTTTCGTACGAGACTTCCTCCAAAAGTCACGCGTCAAGTCTCAAAAACGAGCGTTTCGTACGAGACTTCCTCCAAAAATCACACGTCAAGTCTCCAAAACGAGCGTTTCGTACGAGACTTCCTCCAAAAGTCACATGTCAAGTCCCCAAAACGAGCGTTTTGTACGAGACTTCCTCAAAAACTCACACGTCAAAGTCTGCAAAACGAACGTTTCGCACGAGACTTCCTCCAAAAGTCCAGCGGAAACACCCATCGGAGCACACACATCACGCAGCCCTGCCAAGCAGTTTCGCGATTCCAGCCCCTCCAAACGACACCCGCTCACACGCCAATCCCAATGTGACAGCGACATTCACCTCTACCACAACTCACAACCTCCCGATTCCCTGCGCCTGCCACGAATCTTTCAGCGTCCACACGTCTAACGCGCACAAAGTACTGCGCCTGCCACGAAATGTCACCTCCGTCACACCTCGCAACCTCACGATTCCCTGCGCCTGCCACGAGAATCGCACTTCCACACCTCAAAAGCCGCACAAAGTACTGCGCCTGCCACGAAAAGCGACAATGTCGTCGCGTGTGAGCTTCAACAAAATTTGCACCCACCACACGTTTGGAATGATTTCGACCCGTTCTGAGCACACTCCCACCCACCAAAATCGGCATTTCAGCTGAGACTTGTCACGAAAACAGAGCTTCGATGCCACACCCTGAAACGCAAATCCCAATGGCACAGCCACATCCAACACCCCAAAAACACGACTCTCCAAACGCTAATCCCAATGGAACTGCGCAGTAATCTGCCGATCTCACAAAACGCTGCGCCTGTGCAGCGAAACGCATCACGTTTCTTGCGCGACATGTCCTTTTCACGCAAATCACAATGGACTCGCGTCGCAAACTAACACGTGACACATCCGTGCATAGTCACTTGCAAAAGCTTCCCCCAATGGCAGCGCCTTAGCGACCTACTGCGGACGGTTGCGAACGGTTGCGGACGGTTGCGGACGGTTGCGGACGGTTGCGGACGGTTGCGGACGGTTGCGGACGGTTGCGAGCGGTTGCGAGCGGTTGCGAACGGTTGCGGACGGTTGCGAACATAGAAGCAACGGGTCGCGAACAAGACTCTACCCCCAGACCCCCAGAGTTAAACGAGAACCCTTCGCTACGCATTCGGGAAAATTAATGTCGTAATGTTTTGTGATGTCTTGTTACCCTGTCTTGGAGGAAAGGCTCTGCACAAAGTCGTCCTGATTACCCAAACACAAGCGAACTCTGTTGGTTGGAAAGGGACCGTTTAGTATGTTTTAGGTGTGCTGGGGCCCTCATCAAAACGATCAAAAGGTGTTTTAACGCGGAACTGGCAACCCATTGAGGGGTTGATGATGGTTTATGTCAGGTTTGTGTAGTTTTAGGCAGCACCACACACCAGACACCAGCTGAACGCAAGAAGAACCAACTTGCCAACACACCTCAACCTGCAAAATTCATAAAAGGAGTGTGAGATTTCGCAAACACATGTGCATGAAAGGAAGAATTACATTTTTTCCTAGTGGATCTGTGTTGTTAATATAATATACTCGGAGTCGGATGCACGAGGTGAGGTGTATGTCCGACCACCCTGGTTCTGGTGCACCAGTTGTTTTCACTGGTTTCCTAGTATATCCGGCTCTGAGATCTCCAGTCGTACCTCCGAAGCGGTTGGGTATGACTGGACCCTCCTGGCACCCACCCCAGTCCTGGAGGCCTAGGGTACTTAGGGGATGACTGCAACTCAGGTGTCGACTGCAACTCTCCCACAGAGGCCACCCCTCGCCAGGCCGCGCCGCGGCCGTGCCCCTGGCGGGCACCCCGCCACTGCCCGCCGCGTCGCTTCCAGAGCCAACGATCCTTCCGATGGCTCCGGCGGTGCCTTCGCAGGACGATGGGGGGTGTCCAGGGACGGGGCCGATCCGGCGGCACGGGCCTGCAGGTGACCGGGCTTGCAGGTGGGATTGGGGACACACGAAACAGGAACGACAAAAAGGTTGACCTTAATGGTCCCTCAGGTGGCAGTTTCCTAATCAAGAAGCAGCTGGTGCTTGGTGTTGGAGAATGTTGGATGGTGGAACCTCTCATTTTTCTTGACACTCAGTGGGTTCTTCAAGGCAGCTCTAGCTGCAGTGGTGTATTTTCCCGGTTCCTGGGTTGCACGCTCCTGGCATGGAGAGGATGTTTTCCAGGCCTGTCTGGGACAGCAAACCCAAGATCCGGGTTCCGTGTGGAAGGACTTTCCGCGAGTGATGTGCGTGCCAGCCTATCCGGCCACTTGGGTGGCAGGGCGTTCGGTGGAACGCTGGTGATCGGTGGTCGGCTGCGGAACTGGAAGACAGGGGACCATCTTTGCTACGTGCGTAGCTTCTTGTTACTAGTAGCGATGGCCTCCAACCTACTAGCGATGGCCTCCACCTAGTAGCTTCTAGCTATAGTGGCTTCTTGGTGTACATACACTTCCTGAAAGAAGCATGGTTACGTGCAGTGCACCACGTTCACCACCTGTTTGGTCGGAACATGGCCATCCGAGTCCTTCGGGGCTATGCCGCTCATCATGGCCATTCCGAGTGTGGATTCCCTCCTTCATTTTGGATTTGATTCGGTACACTCCCAACAAGCAACATTTCAGTGGAAGCATCCCACTTAGCTGGAGGAGAATGGCTCTTTTCTAGTAGAGGCCCACTTTTCGTTTGCTTCGCTTCTTGTCGGAAGGCTTTGGGATGAGAGCACCACTCGACAAGCAGAAATAGTGATGTGACAGGGTGCGAGGGACAGGTCCATCGAACAGAAACCTCGAATCTCTGGAACCTTGTGTGACCTCTATTTTGGATAATGACATCGCCCCAAATGTGGCGTGTCCCTTTCAAAACAGAGGTCAAATGGGCTTATGAGGAAGATGACCTCCAAAAATAAGATTATCCCTGCGTAAGATTGCCCCTGACGCGTTCGCAGGGGTTTGGACCCTCAAAACCATTCACATTTGAGGGCCCGGATTCTTAGGGTATACCTGGAGCATCCAGTCTGGGTGTCCTGGCGATCCCGGAGAGTATTCGTCCAGCCAGGATACCGAGACGGTCCTGGTACTGGTAACCCAGCAATTTCTTGGCCTCACAAGCAGTTGGACATGTGTTCTTTGATCCCAATGAAGAGGCAAAACTGGACATTTGATCCATCGAGCACGTCCATCCTCATCCGGCCTTCAACACTGGTTTTGAGCAGATGAGGCGGATGAGGGTTGGTCGAACGTGCCAGCCAGCGTGGAATCACGGTTTGTGAAGTTGCAGAATGAAGTGCTCGAGGCAAAGAAGAACATCAACAACTCCAAGACGATGCAGTTGAAAATGGTTGAAGTTGCCGAAGCCGTCTGATGAGTTGGTGCCATCTCACAAGGAAGTCCACGAGAGCTTCATGGAGATATTGGGGAGATCGTGTCGGGAAGAGAGGCTCCTAAAGATTTTGGACAGTTGAGGCCAAGAACATCTTCTCACTGGAAATGTCTCTAGATGATCAAAAGACTTGGAGGAGATTTGGGCCATGGTCCTCCCCAAAGAGTTCACACACCCGGTTTTGGACTTTGGGTCGGCGCAGAACCCTACCTGGCACTGATGAGTTGGGTCATCTCCTTGGTGCAATCTTGGAGATTTGGAGAAATGGCTGAGAATGGCTGAGAAGGCAAGGGACTTATCCTCAACATCTTCAGACATTTCCGCACGGAGTTCGAGCCACCAGAGAATGAAGAGAAAGTGAAGAAAGCAGTGAGCTCAAGATGAGGGAGAAGACAAAGTGCGAGCAAGCGAGAGCTGAAGTACGGTGACATCACTTGGGGGGTCAGCAACGACATGAAGGAAGCCAAATCTGAAGAAAAGACAAAACCACACGAAGAAAACGAGACATAGAGATTTAATATTTTGAAGAGTTGCTCAAGCGCATGAGCTTCGTGGAGTTGGATGAGGGAGAGTCTACGACGTCGTGAGCGCAGCCTTCGCACGGTTGGATGGTTCTGAAGGCGCCCTTGATTCAACAGTGAGCTGCTCAGCAGCTCAACTGTTGAGCTGTTTCAGTGAACGTTTTGTCGGACATATTAGGTGCATAAATTGTTTTTTTCTTTATAACAAAGAAACAAAAACAACAAGAAGCGCAACAACAACAGCAGCAGCAGCAGCAACAACAACAACAACAACAACGTATAAAAGGGCTCAAGTGTACTTAGCGCGACTAGACGCCCTTGACCCCAGAACCACAGGTTCTCCAATTTGTATTATAGGCCATATCCAATGCCGCCTGGTTTTGGTGTCTGTTGACATCCTGGTGGAACGAGGGTCTTAATTAGAGGGCCCAGGGTGGTCCACAGTCATGCCGGCCCTTGGTGGCTGCTCTCAATGGATTGATTTACAGGAGAATCTACAGGAATCAAACGCATGGTTTTTCACTCCAAAGACTCTGGGTTTCAGGTTAATTTGTCCCTTAGCTTAAACCCATTCTGCTGATCCATCCGGTGCCGCAAAAAGCATCCAATGTCCCTCAGGTGCAGGTGATGTGTCCACCTGTCGCAGGCCCGACGTCGGATCGCCGTCGCCGTCAGAAGGAGAGTCGCGTCCAACCATGCCGTCTGTCGCCGCCAGAAGATGTACCCTAAGAATCCGGACCCAAACAAGCAACAGAATCCGGGTTTGGTGAAGGGGCCGTCTACTCCCCCTGCGTGAAACGGTGGAGAGGGTCCGACCCCTGCCATGGAGAGCCCCTGCCATGTGGAAGAACCTCTTGCATGAGAGTTGCATAGTTCCGACCTGTTGGTCCAGTCTGACCTGTTGGTCAGACCTCAGTATACATGTGTTTGTATGATGAACTCCAGTAAAATGAGGTCAGCTCCCGACCTGTAGGCAGACCTGTTGCTGACCTGTGTGTGGGGGCGGATGTTCCAGGCTGTTGCATCACCGTAGTGCTCCACCTGGTGCTCCAGCGCTTCACGCTCGGCAGGCATCACCGGCACGACTCCCAGCACTACGCCCAACTGCTCCCCGAGGCACGCAGAGTCCGGGGGGTGAGGTCTGTTGGGAAGCTTGGGTCGTAGCAGACGTCGATCCAGGGCTGCAGGTTGTCTCATCTTCAGCCCAGGAAAACACACAAGAATGTATGACATGGCATACGATTGTTTCGTGTGTGGTTGGAGTGGGAAAAAGGATGGCTGTTTTGACAGTACACAGCTTTCGGGTCAGCTTGTTCCTCTCTAGTACAAAGGGGGGTTGCTGAACCAGGAAGGGAGCACAATGAGATGGAAGGAGGCCGAGGCCGCGTGCGATTGGTCACACCAGCACACCGCGCGTGCCACCCCTGTGTCAACATAGTCAGGAAACGTGGGTCACCCTTAATGATGTTTTGGGAGTGGCGGCCTTCCATGTTTCACAAGAACAGGCAGAAAGTTCGGTTTGCCGGTTAGTTACAGAACCTTCATTTTCGAGGGAAACTGCTGAAGGGAGTCAGTCAAAACAGAGATGTCAGGAAACCGGACCCTTTGACTCTGGCAGGCGGGGGGGCAGAAGGAATTGCCTTGAACGACATGGTACACCATACGTTGGTCTGTTGCAACTGATGATCTGGCCTTTCCATCATCTTGGAATATATTAAGAATTATATAAGACTCTTTTAAGTTTGGATTTACTTTTGGATGCTCTCCTGACTCTCATGTAGCAAAGTCACAAGCCTAGGAACAAAATTTGGTTAACCGACATTTTGATGGAGCTCACATCCCATACTGAGCCTTGCTAGAAGAATATGGGCGTTGCCCGAAATTGAAGCCCGGTCGTTTTTTTGTGATCTCAAATCCAGCAAGGAATCCCCAGGCACTCCGTGGGACTGCCATATATGCCGCCCCATTGACCCCCCTGGCACCACCCCTGGCCTGATCGGCCAAAATGGCAGTCCCATGGAGTGTCTGGGATCTGTAACAATGTGCTGGCGAATCGGGCCCTTCTCCAATCCTCGGGTGCCTTTGACCATGAGACCAGACCCCTGCCCATCGGGCCGCAAACCGTAGCATCTTCAAAACGTGGGGGTTGCATCCCATCTTTCGCAAGAAGAGGTCGAAAAAGCTTCACCATGGTGAACTGAACCCTTTCCTTTTCCAGATGAACACCGGCGAACCAAAAGCGGAGTTAGTACATGGAGGCATCTCTTGCAGTCCGCGTGACCGGCTCCGTTTCGGAGGCCAGAGCCACCGGTGCTTCTGGGCCGGACCGCGCAGGTGACGTGTTTGGACCGGGCCCGCAGTCACCGAACGATCGGATTTAGTCTCCAATCACCTGCTCAGGTTCGGTATGATGTGGATCCATAGGCACATGGAAAACATGGACAAAACCCCAAACGTCTTGGATCCAACCTATGGATCCAACCTATAGGTTAGGCATATGGAAAACGTCTTGGATGGCACAAAACCAAGACGTTTTTGGCCCTGACACCACCCCAATCTAGGTAAGCATGACGGTTTCAGGATACCTGATGTGCTATGCCAAACCACCGATGGGCTAAACATGGCTGTCCCATTGGTCGTGTTTAATGAGTAAGGTTTTCACTTGTGCTCATGTATATATATATACACACACACAGTCGGACAACCTTCTTGTTCTCAATCTTTGCTTGGACATGTGGCTTCGGGCAAAACTGTTTGGACGACCTGTTGGCGTGAGACGACATCATAGAGACGGCTGCCAGTGGTCTTTCTCCAGGAGAAGTAGAGTGGTTTCACAGTGGATGGCACAATCACAAAGATGTCATGTATCTATATATACCAGGACCTTCCGACAGGTCACCAATTGAGACCTGTTAGGGTCCAACAACCCTCAACTAACAGCCTGGCCAGGAGGGTGCTGGTATATATATTCATTCATTCAAGGTAGGCAGGGTCGGTGATGAGGAAATATTTGTGAAGCTTCAAGTCAATGTCTCCCACGTTGCTTGGCTGCTCAAGCCAAAACTGGGAGACTCCCTTGAGGTGCAGTGCCACTGCAGACACCTCAAGATAAAAGTTTTTCATCCTTTGCTGCAATGTCGCTTTACAACTTGAAGGCGCGGTGTGCAGCTGAGCAGGACTATTTGGACCGCTGGTACGCTGAGCATGGCATTGAGGCGGCCTCTGCTCTTGCTTCCTCCATCTTACGCGGCTGCTCTGCAGTCGGACCGGGCAGGGGCTAAAGGTTGACGCACGTGGCTGAGACGCAGGTTCCGAGGCCCTGGGCAGGCTTCCTCTTGCCGTGCTGGCCCAGTGCAGGCCCTCGGGGAAGGACATGAGCCTGGCTGCAGTGCTGGGCAGGCTCTTGGGGGAGAATGTGAAGGACTTTGCTGGCCCTGTGCAGGCCCTTGGAGCTCGTGACCACGGCCCCCCTAGTCTGCCAGTTCTCCACTTTTCCAGTTTTCAATTCTCACTTCATTTCTTTCATTTCCAGAATGTCAGCTGTTTCAATCAGTGGGCTAACTCATTACTTCTGATTCCCTCACAGCGGCAATTCATGCGTCGGCACGCGGCGACCGTTGCAGCGTGTGCTCCCGAGTGGCAGTGAATGTCCATGCTGCGTCAGCGGCAGAGGGCCATACCCCGCGGTTCGGGGCTGGGATGTTTTCTCTGCATGCCCCCCAGTCTGAGGATGTCCTTTCTGTGTTTCCAGTGTTCAATTCTTGTTTTTCTGCATGGGCCTTAGTCAGGTTATGGACTTGGTCGCGCACCAGACTGGAGTCCTTCGTCAGGTTACAACAAACTGTTCGTCCCTCGTGATGAAGTCTCTAATTTTGCCTTTTTCCGGACTGCCGGCCTGGACCGTGTCAGGAGCTAGGCACATGCGTCGCGGTCTACTGCGTGTGACGGCTACGTGATGAAGTCTTTGACTTTTCTCTTTTTCAGGACTGGTCACATGAGCCGCGGTCTGCTGCGTGTGACGGCTAGGCCTGCGAGTCTCTCATACTGAGGTCTTTGATTCTTCTTTTTTTCAGTGGCAGCAGTCTGCAGGTGGCCGCGGGCTACTGCAATTTTTGACGATGTCGCGTTTACTCCAATAAGGAAATTTCTGGTGAATGGGTGTTCCAAAGTGATTGGGTGTTCAGAGCTGGCTGTGGTTCTGTGCACTGACATGCGCAACCACGTGAGCTTGCAACGTTGTGGATGGCGCTGAGATTGAGATGCTTGCGCATTGTCATGAACATGCCATGCGCTGCTACTTGAACTTGCAATGCTTTATATAGATGGCGCTTGGATTGAGATGCTTGATTGCTAACCCTCCCGTCCTTCTTAACTCTTTTTTGTTTTTGGCTCGTTTCGGTTTCTTGTGGGACGTTGGGCTTTTCGAGTTCCCATTCAAAACCACTGACTGAGAGATGTTGGTGGCAACATGGAAAAACACACAGTAATAGGACTAGTCAATCTATAGAAAACGGTGTCACAGGGCGGTGCTGTTTTTCACGCAGCTGTTTCGCGCGCAGCCATTTGTTTTGTGCGTGGCCCTGACCTGGTCTTGATCTCAGGTTTGTTGGAGTCAGTGGCCAAGTGGCGGAAAGAGAGTTTCCTAAACCTGAGATATGTTTGTCCGCGCTGAGTGTGCTCAAGCCTGCCTTGCTTTTTCTAGATAGCCGCTAGCCTTTTTGTTTACCTTCCTCTGAGCATGCAGAAGTGTTGCGAATGGATGTTGCAGCTCCTGCTGCTCCTGCTCAAGATCTACGTAGACACGCAGGGGAAAGACAAAAAGGACAGGTTTGCGGACGACGTGGAGAACCTGAAAGAGGTGACATCACAGCTGTTGCGCCACTGTGGTCCACGTCTGGACACGCTTAAGAGTCTGTGGAGCGTCCTGACTGCTTTCAGCATGGCTGTCGGTGATATGGTCTCCACAGGAGTGGTGCCCTCTTCGCACAAATTGATCGAGTACATGGAGGGGAACCCTTGTCAAGTTATTGGTCCAAAAAGGCCTATCATGGCTTTGCTGGAGTTGGGACCGTTCAAGGCAGTGTTAGGAGACGACCTCGGCCTCGCCCTTTCGACTTTGCGACATGTGGATCTCACGATTGAAGAGCAGGGCAGCAAGCTTGACGAAGTGGTAGACGAGATTTTACTCTTGTATCTTGATGCGCATCACATCCTTGTAGCGGGTCCAGCTGGAGATCAGGTAGAATTTTAATTCCTTTCATAAGCAAAGGATTTTGCGCACAGTCAGTTCAGCAGGCGAGTTTATAAACATGTTGCAAGAGAAGGGATCTGATGCCTTAGTTGATTCATCAGCCGCCTCAAGGGCATAAGATCTGTTATATTGAAGCAAAACCTGAGGTCGTGGTTTGATCATGGGGAGCTGATGGCAAGACGTCCTTCGGATTGAGGTGAGATGCTCAGCACCAGCTTTTCAATCAAGTGTAGATCGGGTGTGATTGGAGTGTTGGGGCTCACAGAAATCTTGTTTTAAGCTGTTGAGGTGGGTGAGCTTGGAGCTGACGGTTGTCGCATTGAGTCGCATGCCTAGCAGGCTGTTGACCCGCCTGATGCACGTTGTTGAATTGAAGCGTGTTAGGGTTAATGGACACTTTCTTTGTTTGAGGGCAGTGTATACCTGGTTGGTTGACTTCTACACGGAGGACGACTGTTTTTCCAGTCGTGCTGAGTTTTTCTCACATTTCCTTTCGTTCATGTTGAGCTTTCCTGCCAAACAAAAACACACCAGGATCATCGAAGCGGTCATCAGAGTGTGCCCCATGCAGTGAAACATGTCCAATTGACTGTCCCTTCTGTGATCTGAGTGTTTTTTTGGATTTTGTGCGCTGCCTCTTGTTGAATGATAGTGACATTTTGTCCCAAACATAGCCTAGAGTTGCTCCATTCCTTCCTTTGATGCCGCTGTGCGATTGTGTGGACGACCTCTCGGCCAGTGAGCCTTGCTCTTAGTTTCTTCGTTGTTGAGACGCCCTGCTTTATGATCTGAGTTTGGTAGCAACTTGGCGCTTTAGGTCGGAGATTGGGCCTTCCGATGAGGCAACCGGAACGTTCGGCCAATTCCATGACAACATGCCAGCGTTCAACGCGCAGGCTTCTGCCAACAGAGCTCAGCCAGTGATCAAAAGGCACTTGAAAGCGAAGGGTTGTATCCAAACGATGCCAGAGATTCGATGGAAACAAAACGGTGAAATTCAGTTTCCTGGTTGCGCGACAGTGTTGAATGTGTCACGGAACAGCATTCTCCTGGCGCCTCATCGAACGAGCCTCTTGAAAGCCAAGAAGCTGAACTTGAAGGTGGTCGCAGCCTCGGAGATCTATTGAGAACAATTTGTTCATTCATTGTCGCAGACTCATTGCGCCCATATTGCATTTTTGGTGGTGTATGCTTCTTCAAACTAGGTATGCAAGCCTGACCGCAGCTCCGTTGGCAAGCAACGGAATTTGAAATCGGGCTTCTTCACTGGCAGTCGCACGTTTGGGTCATGGAGTACAATCAGTTTTGAACCCAGCTTTTGAAGAGCGCATTCAGTGACAACTTAACCACAGAGTTTTGCTAGTTAAGAATGTTGAGCTGAGCTGAACAAAGTCAAGAACCCGCTAAGTTTTTCATTTGCTCGATATTAGGATGCTTCTCGGCGACGGTGAGATCATCGCCGAAACCCAGCAATCGCGGAATCAATGTGCAAATCCAAGAGTCAACTGTTTTGGAACATGTTCTTGATGGCTCTACTAAAATTGCCGCAGTTTGTTGAGGACCTGGCCAATCAGATTCGATGGAGTGAAGCTTACAGCACTGCCTGTCAAAACGCAAAGCGGGAACCAGGGACGTTCCTATCATTGCCAGCTGCTGAATGGTTTTCCGGGTTGCCGGTCAACTGGACGTCGTTGCGAGAGAAGGTTTGCAGGAAAACGTTCCAATCTATGTTCCCGCACGCTGCTTCGAAGGAGAGATGAAACAGTTTTGTGTTTTGAGAGTATTTGTGCAATCTTGATTGAAAGTGTAGCAGATTACCACGTGCTTTACTACAGGAGGGCAAACTTGGTTGTGTCAGTCTCTTCAGTGGCTGTGGCGCCCTGGAGCTTGGGCTTTCCCGGCTTGGAGCTCAATGAATTGAGCTCAACCAGTCAAACCGTTCACAGGCAATTGAAAGGCATTGCGCATAATGAAAACCTTTGTCCATTCAACCTTTGGGCTGTCAGATCAATAACAGGCAACAGCAGGTGAATTGGTCATGTTTTTTACTGTAAATATGTGTGATTAGAACATTATGAATTAT